GGGGAAGACAGAGCTGAGCCTGGGGAAATGCACATCGGCTTTTAGGGATGCCCACCCCCCCCGGCCCCCGCTCCCCCCGGCACCTGGTGGGCGTCTGAGGCGTGTTGTATCTGCAAGGCCATAGCCTCTGCGCTCCGTGGTGCATCTAAGAACTGGTGTTCCCAGGTCACACAGGGAGGGGCCGTCACAGGGGGCCTTTCAATGCCTGCCCACGGGACACATTTGCTGGTAAGCAGCCCAGGGGAGGGAGTAGGGGAGCAGAGTGGCCTATCCAACTCCAGATCCCCCATCCTTGTCACTGCCCCTTAAGGTGGCAGGCGAGTGGGGTGGCGGCTGGAGGTGTGGGGGGCTGGGCCGTAAGGAGGGGCTCACCATTATTAGAAGGACCCCCGGGCAGAGTTCTGGACTCTGGGTGACCCTCCCCTTTTTGGAGTCAGTTCTAGATTCTTAGGGGCTGAGCAGTGGTCCAGGGAGGACCTGCGCCTCCCGCGCTGCCTAGGCCTCCCCTGGGGATGCTGGCGAAAGGCCCAACCCCAGGCCCCTGCGAGACCCCAGGGGCAGGGCCCGGGAAGCCAACTCTAAATCTGAGAGCTTGGCCCTGATATGGTTTCAGGCCAGGGTGCAGGGAACACCGTGGCCATCTCTTGTCCTCAAATCTGCTTGGACTTACCTGTAAAGCAAAACTCAAAATTCTGTCCCCAAAAACGTGAAGCCGAACCAGGCATGTCCCTGGCGGTTTTGCAGGTCACGGCTTTGGCCTCTGAGCCTCTGCTCGGGTTTGCTGTGTGGTAAGATTTTTGCAAAACAGCTGCTTCTGAGCTGTAACTCCTGCTTTCAGGAGCCGAGCAGCTTCGGCGTCGGCCTACGGGCTGCTGTGCTCACGGCTGACGCGCGCTCACTGGCTGCTCTCCTCGGTCACATCCTGCAGGTGCCGGACACCCTGGTGCCAGCCCCTCTGGCTCCCTGGGGGTGGGGGTGGGGGGAGGAGCCGCTGTCCAGCAACCACTCCCGGCCCACCTGGCAGATGCCGCGCCTTCTCTGAATGGGAAACGCCACCGTGTCCCGTGGTTTCCACTCCCCTGGCCGGCGGACCTGTCCCTGGGAGGGAAGGGAAGCCCAGGGTCACAGCCGGGAGCCGCGAGGGCCCAGACCTCGGGGTTCAAGTCCAGCTTCTGCCCTTCACGAGCAACTTGACTTCGCCTTGGCTTCCCTGAGCCTCAGTCTCCCAAACTGTAAAATGGGGGCAATTAGAGTTCTACCGCGAAGCGTGGTCCAGGAACACGATCCTGCTGATAGGGCCCTTGGCCTGCTGCCTCGCCAGCTCCCTCCCACCTGCGTCAGCTGCTTGCCTTCACCTGCTCACCCGCAGGCCTAGGAGGAGCGCACCCAACTTCCTCCAGCAAGCTCCCCGCCCCCTAAGTGACTTAGTCACCCCGTGCCCCACCCACAACCTCCTCAGGAACCCAGGGTACTGCACGGCTTTGCACCCACAGTCTTGGCAGCATTTCAGCGAAAAGAATGTTCAGGGGGAGGCAGTGTGGCTGAGCTGACCTCACCTTCACCCGGCTGTGGGCTGCGAGGCCAGGTTGGAGGTGTGGCACCCATCCCTGTGGGGGCGGGGTGCACACCCTCAGCCAGGCCCCGGCTCAAAGTGAGCCCATTGGCAGACTGCAAACAAGACGGCCATTCAGGACAGATGAGGACATGTGTGTTGGGGGGGCAAGTACAGCATGTGGAATTACCCTAGTAATTATCACCTCCACCCTCCCAGCCACAGGGACACCCACATCCCTGGAGATGGGGGCTGCGGGGGGGCACACACAGTGTTAGGGGAAGAGCAGGCTGGGGAGGGAGTCGGGGGAGACCAGGGCTGGCACTGCCCCAGGACTTACTGTGACCGGGAGGTCACTCTAGCTCCGTGAGTGATCGTACCTGAAGGTGTGTCTCAGGAGGATGTTACCTTGTGGAGGACTGACGTACGTACAGGACACACGGGAGAGGGCTGTAGGGGCAGAGGGGCCTCACGCACTGGTGGCTGCCTTCCAATGGTGCGTCCATCAACTTCACACAGATCCTGTCCCAGGTTTGCAACATGCCAGCATGGCGCCCTCGTGCAGTCAGATGGACACCCCGCTGCCCCGCTGCCCGCATTATCCAGTAATCATGTCGGTCTCTCCGTTCCTCTCCCGGTCCCGGCCCAAGCCCTCCTCCCCGCAGCATGTGCAGGGTGGGTCCTGCCCACTTGGTTGGAAGGAAACAAGACTGACACTTCAGCCTGCCATGCCCTGGCCCCGTCAGCTCTCACCGCTGTCTCTGGTTAGAGCGCTGAGGTGGGGACTGTCTCCATGTGGCAGGAACCCTGTCTGGGCTCCTGACTCAGGCATTTATTAACCACTAGAGGCGCGGTGCACAAAATTCGTGCATGGGTAGGGCCCCTAGGCCTGGCTGGCGATCAGGGCCCATCTGTGGGGTGACTGGTGGGGTGATCGGGGTCTCCCACTCGCACCCACCTTGGCCGGCCTGGTGCCGCCTGCTCGCTGGTCATCTCCCTCTGTGGGGTGACTGGCGAGGCCCCCCGCTGGCATCCACCTTGGCTGGCCTGGGGCCTGCAGGCAGCTCCTGTGTTGAGCATCTGCCCTCTGGTGGTCAGTACACGTCATAACGACCAGTTGTTCCACCGTTGTCAATTTGCATATTAGGCTTTTATAATATAGGATGATGTCTCCTGCCGGAAGTGAACTGGAGCCTCATTTACTGGATCCAGGAAGCGGAAGGCTCCTGCCTTTCATGGGCTGTGAGGAGGATGCAGGCAGGTGTCCAGCCCTGGGTCTGCTCCCCACAGGGCAGCCTCAGGCTAACAGCAACTTACAGCATGTGGCCTGAGCAGGCACCGCTCCTCCCTCCCCCCATCCCCCCTATAAATAGGGCCATACGTGGGTGCTGAGGAGGTGGGAGTGGGAAAGGGGGGCAAGATGTGGAGGGCCATGTTGTTTAAGACCAGGAAACGGATGCATATATATATATATTTTTTAATTCTCACTGAGGACATTTTTTTCCCATTGATTTTTTTTTAGAGAGTGGGGAAGGGAGAGACAGAAATACCGATGTGAGACACATTGATTGGTTGCCTCCCGCATGCCAGAGTCTGCAACCCAGGTACGTGGCCTTGATGGGAATTGAACCCGGGACCCTTCAGTCTGCAGGCCGATGCTCTATCCTCTGAGCCAAACCAGCCAGGGCCAGATGCACATTTTCACGCATCCAAATTGAGCTTTTACACGGGAGCTGCAAGGACCTGTGTTATCTCTACCCCCACCACATGGCCCAGGGGTCTTGGTCTTCTCCAATCGGAGGAGGAGCGGGCAGCTCACAGAATGGCCTGATGGTACAGATGTTTGGGATCAACTGAGAATATGTTTATTTAAAAGCAATTTTAAATATTAAAAAAAGTAGAAATGAACACATACAGTACTGAAAAAACACTGTCACATTAAATACACATGAACGGACAAGAGTACTGATGTCCGAGGGAAATGTCCAGGTGGGAGTCGGGATTTACCAAGTGGTCCATGGGAGGCTATACAACAGGCTGGAGTCCTAGGCAATAAAAAAATAAATAGCATCGCTGTTCAACAGGAAAATAAGACACGCTATTTGCAGAACATACCGTTCGCCTCTGGGGGAAGAGAGAACTCATTAGCTATTTTTTTCCCCATAAGGTTCCATACCTTCAAAATACTATCTCATGTACAAAATTGCAGATAGTGGCTCACTGAGTTTCAGAACAATGATCAGATACCAACTCAACTTTAAGACCAGCAGAGGCGTCCCAGGGTCAGTGGGCTGGAGAACGCTCAGATTCCTGATGGGAAACGGAGACAAACGCGAACGGAGAAAGGGTGTGAGAAACGCGTTCACGTTGCTGGGAAGGGGAAGAGCAGACATGGAGTCCACGTCGTCTCAGACATCTAGTCTGTGTGTGTGTTTTAAGAAGCCAGTTATTTTGAGATCAGTTAAAACACTGTGGGCTGCAAAGATGAGTTTTTTAATGCAACTGAAACGTGTAACTGAACGGGGACACTGAGAGATGTGGGAGGGTGACTTCCTGCCCTGACACCTGGGTGGCCTATGTCCTGAGGCTGCCGACACTGCCGGGCACACCCCAGGTCCCTGGCCGCGGGAGTCACAGCTGAGGGGGGCGGCCGGCCTGCCACGTGGTGTCCTAACCCAGTGGCTGCCCCACGCTCTCTTGGCGACCACGTGCGCGGAACTGAATTCACCGGCGCCGGGCGCGGTGACGGTGACGGTCAATGACGGCTTTCCCTAAGGGCTCGGGAGGGATTGTGCTTTTGTGAAATGAACACGCCTCACTCACTGTCAAGATGATCTGCTTAAGAAAGCTGCTTCCTGTGCGCTTTGCCAACAGAGCAGTTTAAGCGAATGCGATGGCAGAACAACACACGGGCCCTGGTCAGGGCACAGCCCCGCGGGTGGGGGGGCGAACCCACTGTGTTCTTTTCAAATTCCTGACTCATGGGAAAGGCCGGCGCAGGCGCAGCGTTCCTGCCGGTCAGATCCACGCACTGGGTGAGAAGGAAACCGACAGGGGCCTCATGGGGGGAAGAGCTTTCCCCACAGTGGGGTGACAGCAGCCCCAGGATCTCGGTGATGGGCTGACTTGGAGCTGACGTGTCTACCGAACAGGGCTTGGGGCTGGGGACTTCCTACGATCGGGGTTTAACCAAGAGCCAGGAGGAAGAAAAGGTTGGTTTCAGCACCCGGTTCTACGGTGGGGAGACCGAGGGCAGGGTGACTTCTAATCCGTCCTCCTCCTGACTAATCCCTGAAGGGTTTAAGTGTGTCAGGGACAGAGCTCTGAACATAATGCAGATGGACGCACGAGATGCGTTCACACGGGAAGGGTGCTCATTCATAACATGACGGGGAGAGCCACACGCGTGAGAGAAAGCCACGGGGCTGACTAGACACAAACATCGTCGCAACCTTATCATCTCTGCTTTTAATGGCAATCAGGTTAAAGTGTGCAGGCCCCCGGCTCCGCGGTCCTTTACGGAAGGCAGGCTCCGGAGGCGTCTAACGCATGCACGGCGAGGAGGCTGAGTTCCTGGCAGCCCTCGGGCCTGACAGAGGAACGTCGCCGAGGGCATCAGCTTCTGTCCGAATCGTCATGAAGGCTACGTCATCTTTGCATAATGAGGTAACGTCTCGGGCGGGCACTGCTCCCGGGACGTCTGAGTCCACTGGCCGGCCTGCGCAGGGGTGGTGCCGTGCGTGCCCCCGAGGCTGGGGGCGTGACCGTTCTGCCGAAGGGATCACACTCCCGTTTAACCGAGCACTTGCTGTAACAGATGCCCGGTGGGCGCTGGAGCTGTAAACTGTGAACACAGACTGCAGGCGGCCTGTCGGGGCTCAGAGTCTCCCCAGAAGACAGGCCGCCGGCGACTGTGCTTGCTCAGTAACGGGGAAAAGGCCGCCGCCGCTGGCACAGTCCACGCTGTGCCTTTGGGTGCCGCTGAGACCACTTCTGTGTGCAAAGCCGGCGGTTCCTAGGCTCCTGCTTGCTTGGGAAACGGCACAGAGAGAGATGTAGGTGCTAGATGCCAGGATGGCTTTGGCAAACCAGGAAGACGCCGGTCCCAGGCTCCCATTAATACTGGCAAAGGCGGAAGATAACAGGGCATTTATTTACAACACACACCACGCTCCCTCCTGGGCGCCCCGGATGGGCCAGGTCCTGTAACAGCAGCTATATACACGTGTGCACAGGGCGCCGCAGAGACGGGGTCAGCCATGAAGGGTGTGGACAGTCTCAGGTTCTCCTTCTCGCTAGTCGGACAGGATGTGAACAAAGGACACAGGAAAGACCCCTTTCCTTTCGGGCTCTCCCTCGATGTGGCCGATCTGGGGGGAGAAGCAAGAGGCGTCAGGTGGAGGCAGGCCCGCTGGCCCAGGGCCCAGCAGCCCACGGGAATCCTCACTGTCTACAGCAGCGGTTCTCAGCCTTCTGGCCCTTTAAATACAGCTCCTCATGTTGTGACCCAACCATAACATTATTTTCGTTGCTACTTCGTAACTGTAATGTTGCTACTGTTATGAATCGTCATGTAAATATCTGGTATGCAGGATGGTCTTACGCGACCCCTGTGAAAGGGTCGTTCGACCGCCAAAGGGGTCGTGACCCACAGGTTGAGAACCGCTGGTCTACAGGAAGGGACCTGGAGAGCCCTAGGCTCAGTGAGAGCGTCAGTCAGAAGGAGACAAGCACCACAGGATCGCTTGCATTGGGGAATCGAATGAACAAAACTAACAAAACACAGACTCAGACGGAGAGCAGGCTGCCAGCTGTCAGAGGGGAGGGCTGGGTGGAAAAGGTGAAGGGAAAGCAAACACATACACAAAACACTCACAGACACGGACCACAGTGTGGTGATGCCAGAGGGAGGGAGGCAGGGAGGGGGAAGGGGGTAAAAGGTGATGGAGGGAGACTTGGCTTGGGGTGGTGGACACACAGGTGGGGGAGAAACCAAGAGGCCTCGTGTGTTAGAAACAGAATGAAACGTGTGCTCTTAGGGGCTCGGCTGCTTTCCCTCCGGGTGAGCGGGACCCAGCGCGCTCAGCCTCCTGCCTGTAACACCCTTCCCGCGGCTGCTGGTGAGATGACAGAGAACGCCCTGCGTCTGGGAGGGCTGCTGTGGACTGAGCCTGTTTCCTGGCCGCTGTAGGGGAAGATGTGTGCAGGTTCGAGAGCACTGTAGCCCCGGCAGGTTCCCCGGCTGCTGCCTGAGCCTTGGCCTGTCACGTCTGTGGGAGCTGATTACGGGAGGCCCGTCGTGGAAAACGTAACAAGACCTGCACGCGGCTCCGATGACTGAGGGGAGGGGCTCTGAGAGCCCGGCCAGGTCATCTGTCGGTCCCTCCGTGACGGACCCGCAGCACAGAGGGCCTGGAGCACGGCTGTGTCCAGCCCACAGCAGCCGAGCACGCAGGCTCGGGACCGGCACTGCTCGCTGACCCGCCACACACCGCGGGCAACGTGCTTCCCGGAGCTCTGGGTTTGCACCGGGAAAATGTGAAGAATCCCCCTGGTGTGACCACGGCTGAAGCGCATCCCACTCGAACTCCCTGACCCACAGCTGCTCTGGCAGGTGAGACAGGGACTGGTGGTCCTCACCAGGAGGGCAGGGACCCGGGGTGCAGGGCACGGCCCCGTGGGTGCAGACCACACCTGAGGGAACCGGGAGGGAAGGAACGGTGCGGTACGTACCCACCACTCCTGGTCCTCCTCCCCGGTGACGATGATCACCTCGCCCTCAATGAAGGTCAGCTCGTCGTCGTTGTCGGCCTGGCAGTCATAGATGGTCTTCACGCGCCTCACCTTGTTTTTCCCCTGCAGCACAGAGACGGGCTGTGAGCCGCCAGGCCTGACCTAAGGGAGCACACGGCTCGCTGGCCGTGGGCAGGGGCGGGACCTCCCTGAGCCTCAGTTTCTCTGCTGCCATGGGCTCCGTGTACCGAGACATCTCAAGATGCCACAGTCCCTGTCCCTTCCCCTGGCATCAGGGGAGAGCCCGGCCTGGGCGAGTGGGCATCGGAGGGCAGGGGACAGTCCGGCTCCAGCAGGGACACAGCGCGCCCCCCGCCTTTCCCGGAAGGCCGGGATGACGCAGAGTCTAAAAACGGATTTGGGAAGCATGATGCAAAGTAAATCTGCAGCTTCCGCCACTCGATGTGCAGCGCAAACACATTTCCCGGCTTCACGCGAAGCAGCGTCAGCGGGAGCTGGCCCGGCACCGGGCACTTCCCCAAAGCTCTGAGGTCTGACCAACTTGACTTGGGCTCTGATCTGTTGAACTTCCAGTTCTTTGCAAACAGGAAGATGGAAATGGGGAAATGACCTTGCAGAGGACGCGCTGGGCACCCAGCACAGTCAACAGTCAGCCACAGAAAGAGGGCCTTTCCTGCGGTGCCTGGTTTCTCCCTCCGTGGCCTGCTGACCCGCTCCTGCTGCCTGAGCCCCCTCCCCCACACCCCGGTTTCAGACCCACCGTGTTGATCTTCCTGGGCAGTGGCACAGGCATCTCGGGCGTCAGGTCATTGGAGTCCTCGGAGGCCTGCTTCTGGAGGGCGTCGCGGGCCGGCACGTTCGGGGAGAGATCCACCGAGTGCGACTTCGGGGCGACGTCGGAGGGCGGGGCCTTGGCCAGCAGGTCCGCCAGCTGCGGTTTGGGAGGCAGGTCCTTCATCTGTGGTTTGGGGGGCAGGTCTGAGAGGTGGGGCTTGGGGGGCAGGTCGCCCAGCTGAGGCTTGGGGGGCAGTTCTCCTGGCTTAGGTGGCAAATCTCCGATTTGGGGCTTGGGCGCCAGCTCGGTGGGCTTCGGGGGCAGGTCTCCAGGGGGCTTCTGGGGTAGGTCTGCCAGCGGTGCCGATTTCTGGATGCCTTCGGGTGGGATGCTGGCCTTGTCCAGGGAGAGATGGTGGCTGGTCTCGGTCTTCCGAAGTGCCACTGCGGGAACAGGCCAGAGACGGGGGTCACGGGGCGGACAGGGGGGCACCTGCTGAGCACGACCCACATGAGCACCTGGAGCCCTTGTTAAACAGACAGGAGTGGGAGCCTGGAAGCCTCCCACGTCACAACTCGTGTTACGCTCAGTGACGCAGGAAAGGATGTCGGAACAAGTCCACAATTAAAAACCCCACAACCATGAACAACACAGGTGAATGTCGGGAAGTACAGAGTTCAAAGTTCCCAGAACTCCATCACCTAACTGTAGCCATTGCAAATAGGTTTTTTTATTTCCTTTTTGACTTTTTAGTGTATTTTCCAGACATAAAGCTTTTGTTTGCTTTCATCTATACACTGTTTTGCAAGAGTATTTGCCAGCTAATAATAATTCCTTAGGGTCAGTAGGAAGAGGTTCCTCTCCCCCCACCCCCCATCACATTTTGGGGACCCAGGTACACGCGCTCATGAATAAACATGACAATAAACCATAAACAGGACCACAACATCTACACTGTCTGCAACTCTGACTTATTCGCCACTGAATAGGTTTGGGAGCATTTCTAAGTTGGTTCCTCCTCTTCCCTTCGGTGCTGGGCTGCGTGCCCACCACAGCCTGGGACCGGTGCCCGGGGACCACTCCCACAGCTCCTGGCACAGCTCTGTCCCGGAGAAGTCAGGACGGAGGACACATCTCCAAGTCCAGCTCCACCACTTACTTTCCAGCTGTGTGACCTTGGACACTCACACAACCTCTCTGTGCCTCGCCTTGCTGCCTGCTAACACATGAGTTACTCTAAGCAGGAATTGGCCGACGGGAGCTGGCAGCTCTCAGCATTCCACTAGAGCAGTGGTTCTCAACCTTCTGGCCCTTTAAATACAGTTCCTCATGTTGTGGTGACCCCTAACCATAAAATTATTTTCGTTGCTACTTCATAACTGTCATGTTGCTACTGTTATGAATCGTCATGTCAATATCTGATATGCAGGACAGTCTTAGGCGACCCCTGTGAAAGGGTCGTTCGACCGCCAGAGGGGTCGCGACCCACAGGTTGAGAACTGCTGCACTAGAGCATCTTCTTACGGACAGCCAGGAATTCTGGAGGCAGGATTCGCATTTTCACTCGTTTGTAGCCCTGGCTCCT